TCAAGTAGCACTCTAGTAAGGCATTGACTTGCTCGGCCATCCATCTGTGGGTGGAAACTAGTGGACAAGTGCAGCTCCGTGCCAAGTATATCAAACAACTCCCTCCAGAAGTTTCCAATGAAGCAAGGGTCCCGATCGGTGATGATATGTCTTGGCATGCCCCAATATTTCACTACATTATTTAAGAATAGTTTGGCAGGCTCTTTTGCAGTGCAAATGACTGTGGCGGGCATGAAACTAGCATACTTCGAGAATCTGTCCACCACGACCATGATCGTCTCATACCCACCATACTTTGGCAAGCAAGTGATGAAGCCTATAGTCGCACTCTCTCATGGACGCTCCGCTACGGGTAGTGGTTCCAACAGTACTTTGGTTGCGTTGTTCCACCTTATCTTGTTGGCCCAAAAGACAAGTCTGCACGTAACATTCAATATCATCCCTCATATGTGGCCAATAGTAGATTGACTCAAGCAACGCCCTTGTGCGATGCTACCTCGGATATCCAACCCACAAGTCCACAACGTGTCATGGCTTTCCTTTAAGTCGGAATCAAATTTCAGAATAGAACGGACTGTGCGTCATTATTATTCGGAGGAAATACAAGAGGCTTCATCCCTGTCCATGTATAGTTTGCTACCCTCATGGCAGTCGTTTGTATGATACCTATTGCTCTACTGTCACCCCGTTTGATCTGTCAAGGCTATTTTCCATGATTATATCTGCTACTCTTCAATTTACTCCCAAATATATCATACAAATGTCTAATGAAATCAATTCTAAGCTTTTCAACGAATTTCATCAGTTCTCTCAACCACAACCATAAAAGGTAAAAAACATGGAGTGAATAAAAACAACATGGAGAACTTATTTTACGTAAATCTCAAATAATTTTATCTTGAAAAGTATTTTTGTTAACATGCTTTTTGAAAGAAAACTTCAGAATAGTTCGCACCAAATCTCAAACTTCAGCAATGTTCTTAACAAAGATAAATATAGTCTTTTAGTTAGCACAATAAACTTTTAAATGGTGAGACACATCATTTCTTAATATACTTTTAAATTTTTAAGTATCTTATACTTTGATTTTGTCCTCATTTTATTTTTCATTCACACCGAAAAACTGATTGGAAAATACCGAACTAAACTGAATCGAACCGAACCAAACCGAGTTAGTTTGATCTAATATACGGTGCACACTTTTCTAAAACCGAAAACCAAACGGCTACCCCTAGTGCTAACCAAATCATTGATATAAGGATCTTTGTTAATATTTTAAGAGATAAGTGTCAAAAACACACCTAAACTACCATTTTTTTGAGTTTCATACATAAACTATTGAGAGTGAGTTTCATACCTAAACTATCACTTTTTAGTTTGAGAAACACACCTCTATCTTTTATACCACTTTCATCATGGTGTGTGTAATATACTCTCTTTTATTTTAAAGAATTTCCACATCACACTCCACATGGACACATTCAACCTTGACAAAAATTAAATAAATTATTAGTATTAGTTAAAATTAAAAATTTAAAAATTATTATCCAAAAAAATAATATTTCTTTTATAAAGTAAAATGTAAAATATTTTTCTTACCCCACTCCATCACTTCCTCTCACCCGCCCCCCACCCCCCGGTCACGCCTCGAGCCTACACCCTGGGCGAGACTGGCACTCAGAACCATTGTTGGCCCCAAGCGAACCCTTGGATTGACTTACTTACTCAGTGGAAGACTTAGACATAAGAAAGAGAATCCAAATACAAGACAACTCAACATGTCTCAAACTGAACTCATAATGTTTTAAAAATAACCATTTAACTTAGCCAAAATGGCAACTCAAATCTGAACATAAGCCAATAACAAAATGATGATGAATGAACTAACATCTGACTGACTATCTATGAAGCCTCTAAAACAACTGGATGGATGTCGGGACAGGCCCATGACATCCTAATGAACTAAAATGATAAAGTAATGAAAAGGGGGAATCCTCCGGAAGCAAGGAGGCTCACCAACAACTCTGAAGCTCAACTGGAACAACAATGCGCTGGATGCTGATCCTAGTTACCTGCGTCTGCATCATAAGACGATGCAGGCCAACTGGCATCAGTACATTGAATGTACGCGTATGCGAGTTAGAATGTTAAACACAACTTAAGCTTAAAAGGATCTGAAAGGAACTGAAGAACTTACCTGGTTCAACTCAACTCAACATAACTGAACTCATTTCAATATAAAGCAGTTTAAAAACCAGTGCAAAATAAGGAAAAGTTGTTTAAAACATGATATCAACTCTGTGTATTTAGAAATACAATAATAACTTTGTATGTACGCAAAGATACAATATGAACTCTGTTTGTATATAAAAATACAAAATACTGTTGTGGGAGTTTCTCTAACCGACAACCATCACTTAAGAGGTATAGTGATGATACATCGTTTTACCTCACGCTGCCAAGGACCTTCATATACCTTGTCGGGGGTATAGAACCTAACTCACTAAGTGGATCCACTAGTCTATGCTAAAAGCATTAAAGGGTTCATCTAAAAAGTATGACAATTTTCTACCCATGATGGATACATGGATTATGGAGATGTGAGTTTTCTGAACTCAAGCTCCTCCCCATGTCGGTGCTCAATACTACTCCCAAAATATGATACTAGCTCTTTATGTTTAAAAACATACTTCTTTTTGTGATTTGAGATAATTGCTCAAAGGTTATCTTGGAAATCGAAGTTTCCCCTCTTGCTTTATTGTGAAAGCATTTACTCTTTAACTGAAAACTAGTCCAAAGGCTCTTTACTGAAAAACTAGCTCAAAGGCTCTTTTAAAAATCTCAGTTTTCGTTCTTATTTAAATGTGAAAATATTTTAAACTCTTTTGGGAATACATAGTCCCCATATACTTTTGAAGAAATGAACTTCAACTTTACTCTTTACTCAACTCAAACTCAAGTCTTAAAACAAAGTTAAAACATTTGTAAAAGACTTTTGGAAAACTTTATCAACTTCTCGTGACTTTACTCTTGATGACTTCTCTTGACTTGACTCTTAACTTCTCTTGACTTTGATCTTAACCGCTCTTGATGTGACTCTTAACTGGTCCTTAAATTGAATTATGGATTCAAGGATTGAGATTTGTGATAGGAAAGATCTCATGATGTTTAGGAATGATTTTAGATAGCTAAACATGAGAAAAGACCAAAAAATCAATATTTGAGGGTGGGTCCGCGACGCGGAGGGATATTTAATTTTGGGCTTTGAAAATGACTTTTGAGGCAGAACGGTTCGTGACGGTTCTGCGACGCGAAACGAATTTTCCCAGTTCTGGGGACTAGCTCCGCGATGCGCCACCACTATCAGATTTCGTCCGACGAAATTTCTTCTTCATTTTTCACCTCTAAACCCTCTAAACTCCATAGGTTCTTTCCCCAAACACTTAGAATTGATTATATGTTCAAAGTACATCAGATTCTACTCGAAAACACGACTAAAAACGTGAATCAATCTCAAGAAACTCCAATCAACACAACCCACAAGAATTCAAACGAAATTTATCAAGAACTCAAGGATTTACGTTCAAATCTAATAACTTCGCTGAAATTTAATCATGATTGGCGCGTGGGTGAACTAACCCAATGCTATGTGATCTCACATACCTTGTAGGGATCACCCCCAACGAAATGCACAAGCTAAACTCGACGAACTTGACGATTTCCTTGCTTCTCCTTCTCTTTTCTCCTCTTCTTTCCTCTTCTCTAAAACCCTAACTCTTTTCCAAAAGCGTAAAACTGACCAAGTTCAGTTTAGACCCTTAATTAATTCACTAAAACGAATTTAATTAATTGGATAAGGAAAATACTGAAATACCCTTCAAAAATCCGGATTGGACATTTCCTTATTTGAACAACCCAACTTCCAATGAGCATATCTCACTCATACAAACTCGGATTCGCGCAATCTCATCGGCGTTGGAAAGATCATTCCAAGATATTTCCTACCATATTGGAAGCACCTCTAACTCAACATGAGCTAGAAGTTATGGCCATTTGAAGTTGACCAAAACTCATTTTTCCTAACTTAAACAAATTTCCAGATTTTTCTTTATTCCCAAAAATGACTATTTCCAGTTCTAAGCTTCTTCTTAGCTATTTTAAATTGCGAGATGTTACACCCCCACCCACCCCCGGCCATTTTTTAAAGTTTTTTTTTGTTTAAATTTCATTTATTAAAGTATTTAATTTTTTTACTTCATCTCCTCACCCCCCCCCCCGGCCCTCAAATACTAATTTAGATATTATTTTATTTCTTAAAAAAAATAATTCTACCCACCCCACCTAACCCTCCGCTTCCAAAAAATTTTCTCATTGTTAGATATATACATATCGAAAATATTTTTTACTTGCCGCCGCAAGATTTTTTAAAATTATTTTGTTTATTTATGTTATATTCGGTACACTAGTAGAAAATTTTTTTCTAAAAATATATATACGTACAATATCTAACACAAAATGAGAAAAATGTAAATAAAATAAAAATTAGGAGCGGAGGGTTAAATAGAATGGGGTAAAAATTTTATTTTTTTAAAAATAAAATAATATCAATTTTTTTTTTTGGGGGGGGAGGGGGATACGTGGAGGAGGTGGTGGAGTGGGTAAGAAAAAATAATATTTTTTATTTTATTTTTATGGATACTAATACTTTAATCTTTAATTTTTAATTAATATTAATAATTTATTTATTTAATTTTTGTCAAGTTGGGATATTTTATCCGTGTGGAATG